GGGACTCGCTCTTGACGGGCTTCACCACTGAGGTTGACGGCGGGGGGGACTCGCTCTTGACGGGCTTCACCGCCTCAGCCTGTTTCGGGTTTAGGGTTTGGGGGTTTCGGGGCTAAGGGGCTTCACCGCAGCCGCAGCCTCCTTCTTGACGGGTGTCACCGCCGCCGCGGGCTTCACCTCCTCAGCCTGTTTCGGGTTTAGGGTTTGGGGTTTTCGGGGCTAAGGGGCTTCACCGCAGCCACAGCCTCCTTCTTGAAGGGTGTCACCGCCGCCGTGGGCTTCACCTCCTCAGCCTGTTTCGGGTTTAGGGTTGGGGGTTTTCGGGGCTAAGGCAGCCGCAGCCTGTGTGTCACCGCCGCCGCCGCTAATAACCCAAGACTCCTAACCCCCAAACCCTAAACCCCTGAACCGATAGACCCCAGGGCTTGACCCCTCAACCCTAGACCCCTAAACCCCCTGAAACTCTGAACTATAAACACCTAAACCTCTAAACCCCGAAACCCTCTAAACCTCTGAACTCAAAACCCCTAATCCCCCTAAACCTCTAAACCCCTAAGCCCGAAAAAATGAGGTCCAGATCATAAAATCAATCGCCGGCCTTGTCCTCGGCCGGCAAGCCTCCAAGCACCAACGTCTCGGCACTGTCGGGGCGCCGAAGTTGGAAATCATCACCAGCTTCAAGACGACGCAACACCGCGTCTCGCAGGCTCATATTATCCATCGAGCCTGTAGTGTCACTTGAAACACAAGCTGTTTTAAATTAAAAGAACAAAACTCTACCCGGATCGATTGAGCAGGAGCAGGGATCGCAATGGCTCGCAAACGAGGTCACCAAGCAACTGCACTGAAGTCATTGATGCAAGCATGAATGAATGTCGCAGACAGGCATTCTACTCTCGAGTCCGTGTGCGAAAAGTCTCTCCTCGACTCGACCTGACTCTGCTGGCCAGGAATCGAATCTTCAAACATGGTACTGCTTGCTGCTGCACCGGCTGAGCTACGGAAAACTGGTCCAACACACTGCACTAAGTAGCATCATACGATAGTATTCCCTGTCTACTGCGACGCAACCCCCCTAAAGCGGAACCAATCATACGAAGTATTGCCTAGTAAGGAAAAAGCTCTGCGGAGTGGTGCTTTCTATGATTCCAGAAAACTGCAGCGTGACATTAAAATTAAAATGGTGTAGCCGGCCAGCTCACAACAACGGAAAGGGCAGTGCTTCGCAAGTGTGCACCACTGGCTTTGCTTACTATCGGAAATCGCTCATCATTCCGGCAGGCTTAAGGATGGTATCACAAACCTGTGGCACACATTACATCTACAGCCATCTGTCAGTCTCTAGATGGCCAGGGGGCAGCCCTTCCTCAATGAAATCGCACGGGTGGTCACCACGTATGGTTTTTGCACTTTACTGCATCCGTGAACGCGTTCGAACCGGAAGCGGAACACTGTCCTCACAATGCTCGAGTCCGCCACCGTCCTTATCAAGAGATTCGAAGCTCGGTTTTTTGGGCAGACCGAGGCTTAACGGTTTAGGGGTGAGGGCTGAACAAGAAAACCAACTATTGGGGGAGTACTGAGCACAAAGTGGGGTTCAGGAATTTGATCAGTGTCAGGCAACAGCCCCCAAAGTGCTGAGATACATACTAATTCAATGCAGGTGGCCGGAGGCTCTGCTCGCAATCCCCAAAAAACCCTTTGCATGTGACTGCCTTCGCCGGGTCCGGTACCGGTTTGTACTTGTGCAAGTCCTTGGGCTCAATTTTGAAGGTGTCCGAGTTGTCGGCTGTGATGCGCTCCACCGCGGAGTACGATAAGGTGTAAGTCGAAACTCGCTTCTGGCGCTCTAAGAGCACCAAGTACTTGTACAACGTCATCGTTTCAACACATGTGGAAGCGGCATTCGGATCGACGGAGGACATGTCGATCTGCACGGGTGTCTCGTCTCCTTGCGGCCACAGGACCGGAACCCCGTGGTCGGGCGCATCTTCGGGAACGTACCTGGAGGGACTGACTAGTTAGTCAGGTTGGGATGATGGCAAGTTAGCACGCAGATCTAATGAAAACTGACTAACGGCGCACACTACAGTCTACAAACCACAAATTAGTAAACAAAACCTATGAGGCTCTACTCCGGTCGAAACCCCTGGCCTCCCTGTTCCGTACCCTCCCACACATGTCCATTTGGCAATGACCTTGTCCTTGTCCGGCACGATGAAAGACTTGCCATTCTGGAGCCGCACGAGCTCCACGCCTTGGATCTCGGAAGCAACCCGAAAGTTGATGGCAGAGCTTTCTCCGTTGATCATCGCTTCCTCAGACTCATAGGTCTTGGAGGTCTCCGGAAGTGCAGCAGGCGGTGGCTCCGCTCGGTTGGGTTCACCCGCATCAGTCTCGTGAGTCTGCGGGTTCAACGTTCTGTTCGGGGTAAGGGTAGTGCCGCTGTTGTTGCTGATGATGTCCTTCAGCAGCAGCTGGTGGCTCTTCTCATGCTCAGCCACCAGCTTCTTGTACCTGACTGGGGGAGGGTTTGGACTGTTGGGGTTTGGGCTATAGGCATCTACACACAACAGTTATAATAACAAACAGGGTGTACGTCTGCGGGTTCAGGGTTTCAACTACGAAGTACTCAATTTTAATAATAGTAGCTCCGATTTTTGGAGGGGTGATACAAGGCCAGTTGCTCCTGACCCAGCTCGCCACCACAATTGCCCCACTTCCGCACATAGTCTGGGTGAACAACCATATTGACCCCTTCTCGAACAAGAACTTGCAGCGGCAGGCTGTCAGCGGATTTGAGAATCTCGGAGCCGGGGATCTGCTTCAACTCCTGAGTTTTCAAATCCCAAATCAAACTGTCATTGTTCTAACTGACAAACGACCAGAAAACCAAAAGCTTAAGTTAAGTGCTTTCAGAAGCTCCTCGTCAGTCAGCCGCACCGTCTCATTCTGGAATCGGGTCCCGCCATAGCTGATGCTGCCGTCAAAGAAGTTGTCCGTCAGCTCCCGGACCACTCTCATCTTGCCGTAGTTGTACTGCTGCATATCCAAGCTGTGGATGGACAGATAGAACAACTTCTGGTAGTTGAAGCTGCCGCCATCACCACCAAGCGGGCCTCGGACTCGCTGCTTCAACACCTCAGATCAGCTTCGTACCCGGCCCAAATAGTATAGTCAATCGTGATTCGCATTTGGAACTGACATGACATCTGACTCATGCTCGCAGTTTGTGTCAATCATGCTAACGTCAAGCAATCCTACTCGGGAGCGACCGTGGCCTCAGATCAGACTACATCACGGCGCAGCAAGGTCAAGGCAATCAGTCAGTTTGGATCATGCACGCAGTTTCCGTCAATCATTGTCATGCAATAATAATGATGCCGGTGGTCCCAGACTACTCACGGCGCAACGTAACAGTAACAGGGCCTTAAAACGGTGCAGGGACTCAATGCTCGGAATGCAAATGGAGCCTGAATACTGTCACAACTACATCCGCAACCAACTACACGACTGCCTTTTAGTTTAAAGTTTAGACACAGTTTAGAGCTAGAGGACCCAGAACGAACAGCGCCCCGTGAAGTAACAACTAGTAATATTATTGTAACAGTAGTAGATAGTACTACTAGCAGCGGCATCCACAGTCATTCACATGAAGACGTCATTCACAGATCGGGGCAACCAAGCGTTGTTTCAGAGATTTGTTGCAACTCACCGTTGCGGCAATCTTTCCCGCAGCGGCCTCCGTCGGGGACGCCGCCCAATCCTATTGAAAGTGGTAGTAACAGTAGTGGTAACAGCAGTAGTAGTAGCAAGTAGTAGTAGCAGTAGTAGTAGAAGAAGAAGAATAGTAGTAGTAGTAGTAGTAGTAGTAGTAGTAGTAGTAGTAGTAGTAGTAGCAGTAGTAGTAGTAGTAGCAGTAGTAGTAGTAGCAGCAACAGTAATCGTCGTCGTCGTCGTGGTAGTGGTAGAAGTAGTCGTAGTAGCAGCAGTTGTCTAATAATAGCAGTAATAATCTTGGCCACTTGACCTTTGGTGGCGGTGGTTGATATTCAGATTAATCAACTATTATTTCTTGCAGCCCACGACATATCACGCCACAAGAGAATCCGGATGGGTATTGACCGACACCAGCCAATCAGATTAATCAACTATTTCTTGCAGCCCACGACACATCACGCCACAAAAGAATTCGGATGGGTATTGACCGTCGTATATGCTGTAGTGAAGTGCTTTTCGCGCGCGCAATTCCATTAATTATAGACGCGAAAAAGCTTGGAGGTTTGGGGCTGCCCTGAACCTGAAGTGTTCGTCCTACCAAGACCATCTGCCGTGCATCTCCGGGCCCATCTGAGTTAGAATCTCCGGGACAGAGCCGGGCTTTTCGCGCGCGCGCGCAATTCCATTAATTATAGACGCGAAAAAGCTTGGAGGTTTGGGGCTGCCCTGAACCTGAAGTGTTCGTCCTACCAAGACCATCTGCCGTGCATCCCCGGGCCCATCTGCCGTGGTGTGTTATATTTTGTCCTAGTTCTTGGATTTCGGCTATTTTTTGTTTAGGATTTGCCTATCTGCGACAGTTGCTGTGAAGAAAAATGCATGACGTATGTCGGGGATTAATGATGGTTTGTGTCGTGGTGTACTATGCTATGTCTATTTGGATTTCGGGCTTGGTTAAGAGGTTCTAAGCCTAGGACACAACAAGAGCCGGATCCCAACCGTTCAGTTGTTAATTTAATACTTCATCAAAGTGGGCTTGACATCTGCGTGGAAAGTATAGTGCTGCTGTTTACTGCTACCGTTGCACCCACTGCGGCTTACTGCTTGCCTACTCCACTCTAAACCCCAAACACTGACTTCTCACCTGAATGCCAAAACCCCTCCTCGTAAAGGTCGCAAGCCCTAGAAGCTCCAAACCCTGAGCCCGATTTGCAAAGTGGGAAGGACCCTTAGCCTTTCAAACGGAAGCTCCGAGATACAAAGTTTCCACTCAAACCAAATCATTGCGAGCCAGCCGCAGCGTGCCCCATGTCCTCGACATATCCTGTCAAATTCACCAGCAAGGCCTCAGCACAGCGGCGATGTTGACCGAAAGATTGGGCGGGTGCGGTTAGGCAGTCAGGTTGCTGGTCCAGGGTGTGGGTTGTAGCGGAAGAGGCTATCCAAAAGCATCTGGCAGCGGTGGCAGCCCTTTTGGGCTGCCAGCTGTTCCGGTGATGGGCGGACCCGCTCATTGACCTTGATGTCAGCATTTGGATCTGCAGATTCTGGCAGGAGCAATGCAGACGACCGGGGAAGCACGGCGGTGGGTGCTCCGCGTTCACTTTCCATTGTTCCAACAGCTCTGCCGAAAAGGGCGAGCTCGCTTTGCCGCCAAGGGTTCTCATCTGTGGCGGCGCGGCTGAAAGTGAGCATGCCATGTCCAAACTTCCTGCCGGGATTGATTTTATGAGCTTACGGCTTAGGGTCTTACACGGTTTAGGGTTTACGGGTCTACGTAGGTTTAGGTATGAGAGGTTTAAGGTTTAAGAGCAACTTTAAATACATACGACTGCCTGTTGTTGGTCTTGGACTCCGCTCGCGCATTGTCCCGGGTGTACAAGTCAATGAACCTGGTGTCACAATTCTGCGCCAATCCGAACATCTCATCCAAAATCTTTCGTTCTTCATCCCACACTCCCCGCGCCGACGTTTCCCGAGCGTGGTCCGGAAACACAACCATCGAGCAGGCTAGCTGAGGAAGATCTTCATTGATCATGGCCAAGGCTGCACACAGGGCTTCCATGTTGCCCTTACCTTTGGCATGCGGGCAATTGAAATCCACATGGCCAATCAAGGCCACATCGCACGGGCTGCAGCCAGCCGCAGAAGCCTTGAATGAACAACAACTTCGGGTTCATCTCGGGGCTGGGGCCTCTTATCGTATATTACCAACTGGGTGCTCAGAACGGTATATGACTTTAAGGGCCGGGAGTGAAAACGGTTGTACAAAGTTTCGATAAAGGTTTTCTAATAGTGTTGGGGTGTGGCTTCTATTTTTTGCCTAGCGCATTTGCAGAAGCCAGAAACTGCTCCATAGTTATTATCTTCCTTGGGGTTCCCCCACACAGCAGTAGGATACTCTACCACAAAAGCTCGGCACTGGTCTGGCTATCGAGGCCTCTAAGAGTTCACGGGCTTCTATTCCCGCCCAGATCCCAAATTCCTTCCTGAATTCACGAAGAAGCTCAAACCTGTAAGAGGAGCCTCAGCATGATAGGTCAAAGGATTCAGAGGTTTGTGGTGTTTGGTGGTTTAGGGTTTGGGCTCAGGGGGATTTACCTATCTTTTTAAGGCTTGCGACTGTTGTTGTTAAGAAATATCAGTAATCCCCGACATACGTCATGCACTTTTCTTAACAACAACAGTCGCAGCCTTAAAAAGATAAGCAGATCCCAGACGGAACATAGCCGAAATCCCAGAACTAGGAAATAGAGTACACCACAACGCAAATATCAATAATCCCCGACATACGTCATGCACTTTTCTTAAACAACAACAGTCGCAGCCTTAAAAAGATAGGCAAATCCCACACAGAACATAGCCGAAATCCCAGAAATGGAAAATAATATTACACCACGACACAAAATATCAGTACTCCCCGACATACGTCATAGACTTTTCTTAACCACAACAGTCCCAGCCTTAAAAAGATAGGAAAATCCCATACAGAATATAGCCGACATCAGAGAAGCAGGTAATAGAATACACCACGACGCGAGTATGAATAAGAGACGACATAAGAAAAGTGCATGACGTTTTTCGGGGAGTAGTAATGTTTTATGTCGTGGTGTATCATCTTTCCTAGTTCTGGGTTTTCGGCGAACTTGCGTATGGGATTTGGTCTGACTTGGCTCATCTTTGTCCGGCTGCGACACAAACTTCCAATTCCCCAACCGAACCCCTTTGTTCGGCATTGGATGACACCAAAAGCTCAAATCAGTTCATCTTACATCATCCAAGAGACAACAGTCTCCTTCATCCGGGAAAGCTCGGCTTTGGCCAAGTCCATCTTGGAAACCCATTGCACTCGCAAGAAGCTTTCCTGCTACAGTATTCGGATCACAATGAACTCCCAAACTTAGTGCAATTGTTCTGGAGCTGTTGCTAATGTTTTAAATAACCCCCCGGTTCAATCTGCCTGATAGCCTCGCAAAGCTTCCTCTGCTGCAGCCGCTTGGTTCCGCCGGTGCACGACAGTTTTGGCGTGCAGTCGAGCCTTCACCATTCTTGGTACCTCCGAAGCCTGTTTCAGAAGCATTTGGTCGCTGATCAAAGCGCTTCCGAAGAACTTGAACTCCGCGATTTGAACGTCGCGCCTTTGCTCCTCCACTTCCAAATGCCGCGCAGCCTGGCTTTCCAGTCGCTGCTTTTCTGCCGTTTCCTTTTCCGAACGCAGCATGCTCAGAGCAAGCTTGACAGGCTGCGTCTGCAGGACATTGTTCATGTCATCATCCTTGTGCGAGCTGGAAATGAAAGCCGCGCGCCAAGCATCTGCATCCTCATCTCCGAGCCGGATCTTCAAGTGCGGATAAAACTGAGAAAAGAGCACGCTCAAGTTGCGCACAAACAACAGCTCGTCACTTGATGCACGCAACTTCTTCTTGTCCTTGGCCGTCAAGCCCGCCGTAATCTTATCGAACTTGGCTTTCACCTTGGCAAAGAACACGTACTGGCCGTCCTCAGTCATCGGCAAAGAATAATCTGGCTTCATGAAGATCTCCTCTGGGAGAGGCTCCTCGGTTGTCGAAGCGTTGGCCAGCAGCAGGTCCGGGTTCTTGGACCCCATGAAGAAACTGTTGTTGCTGACGAAGCTCTCCGAGAAGGCCCCTGAAACGAAGGGCACGTCGTGAGTTGACTGCACGATCACCTGGAACGCTGCTGGCGAGCAGCGGCTGAGAAGGTTCCTCACCGCTTGGCGCTTGGATCCGTTGAGCTGGATGCTTCCGGATCCTGTGTCGGCGCTTTCGTACGCAAGCACCTGAGGGTGCGAGTTATAGCGGTCGAGGCACTCCTCAATTGTCCAGGACTCACCGAAGGTCTGGAAGATGGATGCCCAAGCCAGGCTGGACACTGGAAGAGCCTAAAGATGCTTTTGTCTGGTGCTGAAGGTCTTCAAACATCTGGCCTCAAACTTGCAAACTTCCTATGACTACATTCTAAAACAATACTCATCATCAAACAAGTCTCCTTGGCGTCGATGTTCTGCTTTATGATGCGGCCCAAAGCACCATCCATGGAAGAGTCTGGGTCCTCGTTGCTTTTGCACAACGATTGAATCATCAAGAAAGAACTCATCCATGTTTGTACCTGCGGCTTCTTCAAGCACTCGGGGCAGGTCTTGTAGGTGAGGACCAGCGAGATAAAAACGGAAAAGGCAGCCAATGTCTTCTGTCCGCCATCGGCAAAGTTGAACACGTTCACGGCAACACCATGATCGTCCAGATCAGGAGGGAGGCCGCTGGGAAAGCGCATGACGACTTGCTCGCCCTGCACAGGGAATTATCATGTGTGTTAAATTCCTGGAACCGGTTGTTAACTGATGCAGCCTTCTGACAAAACCGGAAAATTGATCCACACAACAGGACCTCACCACAACCCCAAACCCGCGACAACCCTGGAGCTCGCCACAACCCCGGCTGAAATCACGGACGGTTGTGGCGAGCCTTCGGGCCGAAGGCTCACCACAACGAATGTTGGACCGTTTTGGCCTGGCGAGGTGGGCTGCCTATCCTGGCACCGACCCAGGCAGCCACCTCACCAGGCCAAAACGGTCGAACATTCGTTGTGGTGAGCCTTCGGCCCGAAGGCTCGCCACAACGCTGCCCCTAGGTCGCGCTGGTTGTGGCGAGCTTTCGGCCTGCCGCGAAACATCGAAACTGAGTGCCTCCAGGCGACGATCTCCGAACACACGGGTCAGAAGCAGCAAGCACAAGCAAAGGCACACATTGCCAACGGAACAACATATCAAGCAAGTTCCTCCTAAACTACCATGCCGCACCCCGATTTTTTCGCAAAGCTGGCAACGAAAAGGGTTTAGAGGCGCTTTTTCTTGGTTGGCTCTAAATGTCACAACGGAATCCACCTAACATCTTCGTGCAACTCTGACAAACACAGCAACTGTCATGCTTTTGCAAGGCTTGCAAATCTTAATTTTCGGTACCTCTGGGATCGGCTTAGGAGTTAGCCAGTAACTAGTGCAAAAATTCATGCTGGCACGGTCACAGCAGGGGGAATAATAATAATTCGCTAATAATAATAGCAAGCTACATACACCCAGTGCCAGGCACTCGCAACTTAAGCCAACGTGGCCTGAAAACCGCAAACCCACACCGCCGAAAACCGTATCTATTATGCTATTGGAAGTACGACATACAGTGATACATATATATATATATATATATACAGTAACATATACATGTATACATGTATATATATATATATATATATATATATATATATATATCAAGCTCTATACGCGGCGGATCATAAAGTTGAGTTGAAATCACCAAAAACAACGCACAAAGCTATTCCTAGGAACGGATTTGTTAACCGCATTCTTGTGGCGTGTAGACTGTAGGTCTAGGTCCACAACCCCACCCCACCCCTCACCCGCACCAACTGAATACATGCAACTGGATATGGCAGTTGCATATAAGAAACCTGCGTGCACTACGGCACAATCTTGCCGCGCACACACACACACACACACACACGCATGTATGTATGTATGTATGTATGTATTTATATATATATGGATCAAATAGAGATAGAGATTAGAGATGGAGATATAGACACAGGTACAGGTATCTATACAAATAAATATAGATATGGTTACAGATATAGGTATAGTTATAGAAAGAGGCATAAGTTTCAAACATAGATGTAGAGATATATTTACATATTATACGAAAGCTGCAAAAAGACAGAAATAAATTATGGACTGACCCTGCCTGTACATGGGAAACCCCAAACCCAAATCTAAAACTTTTCCTGGACTGACCCTGCCTGTACATGGGAAACCCCAAACCCAAATCTAAAACTTTCGGCGTGAAGACAAGCAAGTCTCAACTCGCAAAACCAGATAGAATCCTTGGCATAAAGCTTCAAGCCCTCAAACCCTGAATCTCTAAGCTTGCAGTCGGGCCAACCTGAGGTTAGAAGTCATAGGATATTCAATCTCAAACCCGGAAGACCCTCCGCTGACCGAAGTTTTGAAGCTTTAATGGTCTTTGGGGCGTCAGTTTTTTGGCTTGATTCTTGAATCTGCGGTTTGACGGGCTGAAAGATTCAATTCACGCTTGCGGCTTCCGAGTTTTGGGGTATCCGTGAGATTGCACTGCTATCAAAAGAAACACACTTAGACTTCACTCGTCCAGACCGGCCTCGCGGAATCTGAAGCTGGCCATATTCTTGGCTATGCTGAAGACTTCGGACATGGCAACCAACCTCCAAAAGGAAGAGTCCTCGTAGCTCCAAGAAAGAACACTGGTCACGAAAGGATTGCCTGGTGCGGGCGGCCAAACCTCAGTCGTGAGGGCGAAGCTCTGGGCGAGCCGGCACTAAACGAGCAGTTGAAGCAAACAGACAACCGGCGAATCAACAAAGGCACTGAGGGTGTGCAGAACTCGGAGAGGAGATCATCCACAGAGTTGGCCTGAAGGAGCCCTGCATCGGACAACATCTCGGCGACTGCCTCCAAGAACCTGTCCTGGTCACTCCAGACACGCTGGGCTATGTCTTTGAAGGTCCCGCCGCCCAGAACAGGCCACGGAAACAGACCTCGGTCATCCACCGGCAGTGGGCCGCAGGCCTGCTCGTGGCGATAATCCTTCGGACGGTGCCGGAGGGAGTGAATTGCATCCAAGCATTCACCCACTGCCTTCTGCAGCGGACTGAGGTCTTCAAACGTCAAAGCAGTCTGGACGGCTTGGGATCCCGAGGCCTTCTCTTTCGCCGCGGCAGCCCCTGACGTTCTTTGTTTCTTCTTGGGAGGCATCGCAAGGTGCCTTTGGTATCCTGCTTGCCCCGCTCTGGCTGTCACTGTGCAACAATCTGCAGTATGCAAGCAAGTGCAGGAACAAGAGAAGCTGGCAAACTAGTAAAATGGTAGATTTCCAGCCTACGCACACTTCCAGCAAACCCTCATGGCTGCCCTTCAATGCAACAGATTGAGAGTGGCGGTAAGCTGTATTTTGCGCTTTCTCGAAAAACATGACCTGACGCTCTGGACGGGCCCCCTGCAGCACGACTCCTAAGCCTACCAGGATGCATCCTTTCTGCATGGCTTCTCGCTGAGAACATGAATCTGCAACCAAGACATGAATGGCCAATTCCTGAAGCTTCTCAACACTGAAGAATTCAGACTGAGAATGGCCAACGCAGCGGCACCCGGTCGGGAGACGGTCTCAGTGCAGAATGCTACAATACGGAAAATCTCAGTGCCAGCAAATCACTTCTTCAACTTCGCTGGCTTCCAGGAGGCCAACACGCATGCCAAGGATGACATACACATCGGCACCGTAAACCTTGACAGCAGGGCCGAAAGGGTTTAGGGATTAAGGGTCCAGGGTTGAGGAACTCTACGTGTTCAGAAGAACGAGCAATGGAGCTTACTGAGACTATGGCGAATTTCCAACCAAATCCGAGAGCTGGTTCTCCGAAAGCACACTCATCTTGTAGCGGGCTAAGTCAGCACGGCTCACACCCTGCATGGAAGCCTTCTCCTGCCACTGCACACACACTATCCGAGCTGAACACATAAGTACATCGGGCCGTTACTTATATACTCTCCATCGAGGTTCCTGTTAAGAATAAACCTATATTATGTTAGGATCCTATAGGTACCCGCCGACAGGAACCACAATAGAGACTAGAGGTCTAAGTACAATCATAAAACAGGTTCCTCAGCCGTGAGGATGCGCCAAGCGCCGGGGCCACAAACCACGTATTTGCCCCGAGGGATGAGGCAAGGGCAAATGCCCCGGCTTCGGTTCCAAAGATGCCGGTCGAAACTCTGGTCCTAGGTGGAGGAGCAGCAACAGACAGCAGCAGAAGCAGCAATGCACGAACGTGATGTGGCTTGGCCTGAACATGGATGTGGCCAAGCAACAACTTGGATGAAAAAGAAGCCTGGTGGATCTGGCGGATTCCAGACTTCATAGCCTGCATCTTCCATCTGAAGGATGGCAAGAACCATGACTGCGACCTCGCGCTCAACTAAGATCGATGGTAAACCGAGCTCGGTCAGCTTCTGCTGGCACTTGCGAACTCGGTCCTGACGATGAAGAGCTTGGTTCAGGCATGCATTTTTTGGAGACAGTTAGAATAAGGAAAGTCTTTGGAAACTCAATCAACCTGGCCATAATTCTTCTTGATCTCCTCGAAGGCAGCCACCCACTTGAGAGTTGCTCCCTGCTGTCCGCCCTTCCGCCTCGTTTCCCTCGGGCAAATGCCCTCGTGAACAAAAGCCTTCATAGGCAACAGATCCTGTTGCCACATTTTCATAAGGCGAGTCATGTCCTGGATGGTGAAGTTCCTGGCAACCGGCAACCGTACAAATTTTCAGCGTGCTGTGGCTTCAAACAAGAAAGAGTGACGCTGACATAATCATAACAATGAGTGTGCTGAAAATCACGCTACGATAATGTTTCCTTCTTCTTCTGCAACCCCAACAACAGCAGCAACAGCTGCGAAGGCCAGCAGCAACCATAACAAGAGCAACAACAACAACCCTTCCTCCTCCTCCTCCTCCTACTAGTACTACTTACTACTACTACAACTACGACTGCTACTACTGCTACTACTGCTACTACTGCTACTACTGCTACTACTGCTACTACTACTACTACTACTACTACTACTACTACTACTACTACTACTAGTACAACACTACTACTGCTACTACTACTACTTCGAGTACTACCACTACTGCTACATTTCCTTTTCATTTGCCCCCGGGTTGTCTCACCATCAACCCTCCCTGTAGAGGGCAAACGAAAAAAAACACCATTACCACTGCTACTACCACCACTACTAGGACTACTACTACTATTACTACTACCACTACTACTACTACTACTACTACTACTACTATTACTACACCTTCTTCTACTACTGCTGCTGCTGCTGCTGCTAGGAATAACACTACTACTGCTGCTATTCCTTCTGCTCCGGCTACTGCAAGAACCGCTACCACTACTTCTGGTGCTACTACTACTATTGCTACGATGACGACGACTACTACTTACTACTACTGTTACTATATAAAAACATAGACTAGCATAGAGTGTAATCGTGACTGATCGTGATATTTGATAACTCATAAAGATAAAAATGACAACTTCTGATGATAAAACACAAGTGATCGTGGCTACGATAGCACTGATCATTCATACTGGTGACAGCATAGACAACAAAGACACTCCTGATCACAGCGGCGACAATGCTTTTGACGCCAGGTTTAAGGAGGACAACACTGACAATAAATAAAACCGGTGGGAATGCTCATAATAATGCTGAGGAGTGTCATTGTCAAGATAATCACACTTTTCGTTAACTATATATATATATATATACATATATACATATATATATATATACTAACTACTAGCAGCAGAATGCCGAAAAGACAACTTTTCTCAGAAACTGCGTCATGTCACACTTTCAAAGCATCTTGTCGAACATACAGAAGCCAAGCTCGGGAGCGAGACTGCCGGAGACCGTAGTCCAATGCATTCAACACGAAATCGAAACTGATGAAGCCACGTTTCTTCAATTCTGCTGCCTGGATCTGTGAAGGTTGCTCTCCACCGAATTGGCCTCGGCTCTGGGTAAACCTTGCCACGTTCTCGAAGAGAACCCACTGTAAAGCAGGCTGCGAGTCAACCATCTTCATGAGGCTGCGGAAGCCTGCGCCCGAGGTGCTCTTGGCATCTCGAATGCTTTTTTGATCGCAGTTCTGCCCTGACACAGACTTGCACGGGTATCCGCAAATTGCGCCGTGCACTTCGCAAACGCTTTCGATCTCGCCAGACACAGAGTTGCGGGCTGACTTGCGCCACAAGTCCATCATGTTGTCGAAGATGGGGATCCCGGGGAATGCCACCTTGAGCATATCCACTTTCCAAGATGTTTGCTCGCACATCCAAGCTGTTTCCAACTGCAACAGGCTGTGGAAGCGAGTCACACACCCGCCGAACACTCTAAGTTTAACTAACCCTCCCTGAATCCCGTAAGCCCCTTAACCCTAAAACTCCTAAACCCAACAACCCTGAAACTTTAAGCCATAAACCATGAAAATCCTGAAACCCTTAAATCTAAACCTTAAATCCTCTAAACCCTGCAACCCTTAAACTGTAAGCCATACACCATCAAAAGCCCTAAGCCACTCAACTCTAAACCCTAAAACTCCTAAACCCTTCAATCCCTAGACTTTTAACCAGGAACCATTAAACCCCTACAAAACCCCTAACCCTACAGCCCTTAAAATCAGAATGCCTCAACATACAGAAGCCAAAGCCCCGAAACTGCAATTCCTGCCTGGACATGCGAATGCATCTGCTCAGACAGAACTTTGTTCAAGGACTGAACGCACATCTCAGCAACACCCCAACCGCTGCAAATGCTTGCAATCAGCAGCTTGTCATCCTCGAAGTCTTGCACGCTCTGTAGGACCATCCTGCCCAGGTCGCTGTCAATGAGGGCGTGCGCCCACTCATCAACCTGCTGCAGCAGCAAGCAAACTTAAACGTGACCAGCACCCCTAAGTATCTCTGAAAGAAGCCGGAAGGATGCTGTCAAGCAACGCCCACATGAGTCACAGGCTTAAGTCGACCTTTAACGAATAGAGGAGCGGATGCTGCCGAAGATGCTGCTGGCTCAACATCGGACTCTTGCAGAAGCGACCCTGAATCCGGAATTTCTGCTGACCTTAGGCCAAACGAAACGCACGCATTGCTATCGCAAGTCATGCTTCCAGCCCAAATCCCATGCAAGCCAAGAGGCTCGGCGTCGGGACCACCAAGAACGTCCTGCTCTTCGTCCGAACACAAGAGAAGACGATCATCCTCCTCTGACAACTTGGGCTTGTCATCTGCATCGGTCCTGCCGGGCGGCTCATATGCTAAGGAAACTGCCAACTTGCCTGCTTGCGACCAAATGAAGCAAATCTCTTATCTTTTCACGGCTGCGTTCTCTGCAAGGCAATCAAGGAGCTGCTAGTCACATTCAATAATATTCACAATGCAACGACAGAGAACCGAGCTCTTCATTTGTCGTCGAAGTCGACCGGCCCCATTTCCTGCTCTGAAGCAGAGTCGTCCTGCGAGAGCGCAAGAGAAAACGCTTGACCAAGAAGCTAGGGGACACAATGCATTAGGGCTGTTGAAGTTCAGGACCAATATATATACATAAATAAATACATATATAAATAAAAATATATATATATATATATATGTATATATATATATATATATATATATATATATACGGTTTCAAACTAAGACTTATTCGCGCAACCCTAGGATCCTGTCCTGATCGTCCCGCTTGAGATTGATATGGCGGTCGCGGCCTGCGCCTGCCCAAATGACCCGCTCGGCAGCTGGAACATCACCACGCCGGACCTCCAGAAACGGATACCTGCAGGGCCTGGGTTTGCGAGCGAGCTCACCGCTACACCACTGCGTCAGGTATGCACACGCATCGGCGGAGATGTCTCCTTGTCTCATGCGCTCGTGGCTGAGCCGGCATATGTTTTTCTGAACTTTGGGTGCAATGGGTCGACGATCCTCGACACCGCCGGGTTGTGCAAAAGACGCACGGAGCACACCACAAGTGGCTGCTGGCATCAAACAGACCACACGAAAGGGCTCTGGGTCCGACATCCATCGCTTCGCCAGAAGCAAAACATCTTTTCCGGAAGGTGCTGACCCAGAAATCTCTTCAACCCTGCACTGCCCAAAGGATGCGGGGCTCAAATCTTCGCGCAATGCAAACCTCAATTGGTGCACATGTCCTGAGATGGCACTCAATCAAGGCAAAAAACAAGAACTGAATCGGATGCATCGAACATAATATACGTCAAATCTGAGATCGGCGAACCACTGGCCAAGTCAAGAAGCTCAAACCTTTGATTCGTAAGCGTGCCATTGCGACCCACTGCCTCCACTGTGCGACTTCGTCCAATTTGATGCAGTGTACCTGCACGCGGCCACCATGGGAAGTGTGTCGCTTCCTCTCACGTTCACCGTCGTCAGACGAACGGAAGCTGCTATCCAGCAAATCCACTAGGCCACATGCGGAATCGAATGTGTGGCGGCTTATGAATGCTGCTTGCTGCGAGAAGACCTGATCCACATCTTCATGACCTTAAAGTAACACATACAACAAAAGATCAAATGAGAGAAATTGGCCCAACCACTTTTACTTAAACCCACAATATCCAAGTAACCCGTAAGTCGCACAGCTGATTCCGATCTATCTTGAAAACAAGTAGTCGTGAAGCACGAGGGACCGACCGCCGATCTGTTGGTTCATAATCAGACCAACATGACAAGCTTCAGAGAATCACTGCCAAGAGTCTATGTCCGGTTCTGAGAAAATTTGCCAGACTCCACCTTACAACGCCTAGCCCCACCAAAAGGCACAAGTAGTTCATGACGAACCGGTTTTTCCCCTCCCGGTATGTATTATCTTGCTGCAGGCACAGTCCCATTGGCATATTGTCTGCAATAGAATTCAAGGTTCGCGACAGCATTTCCAGCTGAGCAGAGCCATCCTTCTTGGTATCTTCGTCAGCTACGTAGATGTAGATTGCTTGGCCATGTAGCCAAGAAGCTGCAACGTGCAAAGTCGGCCGAAACAGTCTCTGGAAAAGCTTGCTTGGCGCCATCCTTGTTCTCGGAACCTTGAATTTTGACTGGTCCATGCCGTCTTGGATCACAGTCACCGCAGCTGTAGCCACAGAGGAAATCAGAGCTCGGTGCCCAAATTCGATGGATTGCTTAAACCAAGCCTGGCTCAGCGATCTCATGGACCAATAGACTTGCCTGTCGAGCCATTGACTCAGCAAATGCCGGGTGTACGCCCGCTGCGCAGTCTCACACTCGGTGCTGTGAACACCAAACTGCCGCACTGTTTTTCTGATGTTTGTCTTCAGGCCAGTACAAACATCACAAGCTCCATGCTCGTTTTGCTTTCTGAACTTCAGCACACCATCTTTCTCACCAAGTCGAAGCACTTTGTTCGCTACACGAAGGAATGTGTTGAAGGAAGCAGCAGCCCCTTCCTCCCTCCCGGCTGCCCACGCGCGGTAACTCCAGAAAAGCTCTGTTCGACTGCCATGAGGCAAAACCTTCCGAGCTCCTTTAAATGAGCCAGGTCCGATCATGTGCTCTTCCACGTCTGCATAATGTTTGTGAAGACTTTTCATGAACGACTCGACGGCGCGCAAAGACTGGTCGTCATCGACCGGATCCGGAAAAGCTTCCTCCGACAACTTATTCGAACCACATCCTGCCCGAAAGTGCGTTGGCAAATACTCTGCCTCCGAATGGTAGACCAGCCAAAGGAACATCAAAACCCCAGCCCACTTGACATTGGGTCTATGGGACATTGAGACCTCCAGGAGAGGGTGCTTGTCCGCTTTGGGCAGCCTTTGCTTCTGAGTTCCTGTCGGCAAACCTTGACGGAGATTCTGCAAGGTTGACTGCCCCACACCCAAAAGCATGCTCAGCGCTCGCCTGCAGACTGGCTTCCCCAAAAAACTAGCCTCGTCGGATGCTCGCTTTCTATATGGTCTGGATGCTGCGGCAGGCACCGGTAACCGTACTTCGTTTTCTGGAGACTCATCTGAAGCAAAAAAACAATCATCATCAGAAGCTTGCATCAACTGAGCCTCATCATCAGAGTCGGATGCATGGAAGTCAACGTTTCCCCGTACAGGGCCAGCATGAATGGCCACCGCGCCTTGATCACAGTTGAAAAGGTTAGCGATCATGTTTACCTGGGCGGCAGGGAGACGAAATGAAAGTAAGTTCATTTTTATCTGAGATACACCGGATTTGTTCTTTGAGTTCACTGCCTAGTTCAGGGTAGCAAATTTCAACACAATGATAATGACATACATAATGACATAATAGTTACGACTTTCTAAGAACAGCGCAAACGGTTCTCGCCCTGAAACGTCATTGAGTTAAGCTACTCTGCGAGAGTTCTCCATTTTGGAAAACTCTTCCCTCTTTGCACGCACGGAATCAGCCTCCCCCAAGAACTGCTGGAAACATGACCCGCGCTTGCATCGGCATGGGTTGCCCAGGAAATTCATGTCGAGCTTCCGCTTTTGTGGCCGGGGACCGGCACTGGAAGCTGAAGGCACACATTCATCGTCCGACGCATAGAGCATCACTACTCACTGGAAAGGCTTTTAACCGCAGGTTTCGAGTCCCAGGCACCTGCTAAGGGTTTAGGGTTTAGTCTATTTTTGGGGAAGGGCTTGGGTTTAGGGTTTGGGGTTAAAGCTATTTTTGGGGAAGGGCTTGGGTTTAGGGTTTGGGGTTTAGGCTATTTTGGGGGAAGGGCTTGGGTTTAGGGCTTGGGGTGTTTAGGCGTTCAAGGAGCTCTGGATCGAAGGTTCTCATAGCCTTACTATTAAACTGCTTTCAAACAGCGATCTTGATCAAGGCCGGGCCGGTAGAATCGGCTCCCTAAGCTGTTTGGGCGGAAGCCACCAGCTTCTTTTCCGAAGCACTACATAAGGATTTGTGGCCGAGGGTTGACGTGTCTTCGGGACGTTTAATTGGAACTGGCAACAGCAGTTGTGTAGCAAACCACGGGCCCTCAAGATATCCCGTTCCCCCGAACCATGGTGATGTCAAAACCTTGGACGACGCCGACCTCTCATCCCCAATCTTCCTCAATCAAAGAAGTCTCGGTTTAGGGTTTAGGGTTTACCTGTAGCCGGAAAGACCTACCTTTCTAGGGTTCCTTATTATGGTTTTTATATATGGTTCCTTAAGAAGGTAGGTCGTTCCGGCTACAGGTAGGGTTTAGGGTTTAGGTTCTGTGAGTTCCAAGCCCCTCACCTCAATCAAGAAAATTTCTTTGTGATGTGAATGGTCTGGACTTGAGGATATCCCACCCCCGACCTTCCACATGATCGAAATCAAGAGTGGCAGCAACCGCTTAACCCGCATAGCACCGACTGCAAACCTGAGCTTCAACTGAAACTGTAGCCAGATTTAAATTTAGTTCAAGTCTATGAACCCATATTGCCCCAGCCCAGCCCCAGCAACAAACTGTCCTGGTCAAGATTGTCGCAGGCTTTTTGGAAGCCGTACGAGAGGCCGGCTTCTTCATGGTGGCTGCTGGCCGCTTCATGTTTCGAAGTGAAATCTCGGAGTTACAGAACTTTGACTCCGACGGTGGCTACTACGAACACCTTCCATGAGTACGACCGGTGTACTTATTTCAATGGAATTACTTCAACGGAATTGGATATCCTGAACCTGTCGAAGCAGCTCTGAATTGCGGCCTACACGTCCCTGATTCCCAAAGGCAAGATATGAGCACTTGACAGACATCAGGCTACGAACAAACCTGTGGTCCAGTAACAAGAGAACGAAGCAACCGCAGCAAGTGACCAGAAGGTATGTTACACGTTACAAGACAGAACATGAACTAAGTGAGCATCCGTCCGTTCAGCTGTCCCTGTCCACACTAATGGCACCTCTGGCAGGATCTCGCAGTGGACACGACAGGTCTTAATTTTTTTTTATATTTTTAGTTGATTGCGAAGAGGACGACCAAAGTCTAAAGGGCCACTGACACTGGTTCTACTCCGGCGAAAATTTAATTCCAATTGCCAAACGACGACCCCGTCAGCAGAACCCTGCACTGCAAAAAATCCAACCGCTCGACGGCTTTCGGGAGATCTGCCATGCGTATAGGGTTTTGTGTGGCATATGGCAACGGGTTTGCGCAGCCTGTGTGTCACATGTCCTACTCAGACATCAGACTAAGAATACTAACTATTCTATAATCATTAAGTATATATTTTGAACTGCATTTACAAAATCCCTTTTTGTCCACCTGCACACTGACTTCACAGAACATTATATACATTCATTGAAGTCAGTCAGTGTTTGAGCCGAACAATATGTAAAGTGTTTCGAGCCGAATTTTATCTCACATCCTGTCCTAAATCTACAGAGTCAGAGGTCAGGCGCTATACACAACACCAGACGGAAGGCCGCGGGTGATGGGAAGGGAGGTGGAGGGCGGGCGGAAAGAAGAACCATGCACCTAATCAATTACAACGGACCGGGACAACGTGCACCTTTGGCGCCAGCAACCTTTAAACTCCATGCGCACAAATCGAGCCACACAACATGAACAAACACCTGACAGAACGCTGAAGCCACCGAGTGATTGAAACCACCAAGTTCCGCGGGAGTGGATTACCGCCATACACTCCCGACTCGCTGGTGTTTCTACCTGCCGCCACGTCCCGAGCCATCCTGTGAACGCCCTGGCGCTCGGCCGGGGCATAGCGCAGTTGCGGGATGCGGCGGTTGACCGCCTCAGTCATGCGGCCCAATTCGTCCGCGTAGGTCTCGCCCTCCTGCCGGAGGCGCCGGTTGGAGAGCCACTGATTGAAGGCTTGCGCCTCCACGAGCTGCTGGTGCCGCCGGCGCAACAGGGGATTGAGGTTACAGCTGGGATACATCTTGTGGAACTGCCGAAGCATGAAGGGTTCGTTGCGCCGCTCGAGGGGCATCATGGTTCCTTTATAGCTCGTGCGTATTTCGTGCGAGCAGCTCCATGTACCGGTCCTGCCGCTGCATGTAGTTTAGGGCCCGCTCTTGCGCAGGCGTCATCCTGACGGGCTCTGCGGGGGGCTCGGGGGCGGGAGGGGCGGGAGCCGGACTCGGAGCCTTCGGAGGCTGCGCGGGCTCGGGAGCCGGTGCTGGGACGGCCTCTTCGGCGGGCACCGTCTTCGGGGCTTTTGGCTTGTTCTTCGAGCCTGGAGGTCTGCCTCTCCGCTTGGGGGCGGGGGGCTCCGCGGGCTTGGCGGGCTCCGGCGGGGGCACGGCGGCCGGAGCCGGCTCAGGCTCTGGCGCAGGCTCTGCCGCAGGCTCTGCCACAGGCTCTGCCACAGGCTCTGCCACAGGTGCGGGCTCGTCCACGGGTTCATTCTCAGTCATTTTCTTGATTAAAGATATTAATTGTCGTAATCCAGGAAAATCGCAAAAGAAACAGATGTTCCACGGGTGTTAACCGTGTTGTTGTCGACATCTGACAATTTAAAGCGCAGAGTGCGCAGGGTAATCGGACCGTGCAATTTCACGAAATGCCCCTCGTCTGTTCTGGTTTGCATGATATTGCCGACGCCTTTGTCGATAATCATTTTGCAGATAATGTCGTTGCCCAGAGGCCCCTTGATGTCTGCGCCAGTGGCGAGGGTGCAGCACCGGAGCAGCAGTTCTGAGTACGGGTTCATCGTGACAAAGGTGAAGATCTGCAGCGCCCCATCGATGAAGCTGGGGCCTAGCAAGTGGTTGATGGAGAGCGGGCGGCTCGGCGTGGCGCCGGCGGGATAAGAACCGGTGCCCGGGAAGAGGCTCCGGATCTCGTAATCATTGAGTATGCGGCGATTTGAATCGCTTGCCACGTTTATCTCATTGGTTTGATCCACGTAAGTGGCGCTCGCGTAGTTGCTGCTGATCCAGGCGGCCAGGCGACTCCCCGTGTAAGCGCCGACCGGGAGCACCGCCCAGTTGAGGGTTTGCAGCGCTTCATCGATCCAGTACAAGTACTGTCCCCGATCCGTGGAGAGGAAGGCGTCGGCCACCCTGAACTTAAAGACGGAGAGCTTCGCCCCCGTTTGCAGGTGGAGGGTCTCCCCAATGTCAAATTCGAAGCTGGAGTCGTCCCCTGCTGTGCGCTTCCTGCTATCGACATAGATCGTTGTCGACATCCTTTTCTTTCTACGCCAGAAGCTCCGGCCTGTTGACTTGTCGGAGGCCGTGCTGTCACTGACCTGCCGGACCCGCTCCGGGTAGGGAAGCCGCCGCGGGTCCACGACCCCCTGCGTGCTCGTGCAGCATTGCACATGATGGCACTCACTGTCGCAGATCGGGCCGTTGCCCAGCAGCTTGCCCACCACTTGGCTGAGGATCCCCCCCATCTTCGTTTACGAGGAATTTGCGCTCGAAGTTCACCCAAAACATGTCTTCTTTCGGGGCTCGCAGATTGACAAACCAAAAACTATGCTTCTCCCTGGTGGCCTCCTCGTACATACTAAACAGGACCTCCTTTGGGAGCATGGCGGAAAGCTCCTCGACGAGGGCCTCGATTTCAAGTTGGTTGCGGAGTCGGAAGACGCAGTAGAACATGGTGTTCACGCGCACGGCCGAGGGCATCAAACGAAGCTTTTGGGTGCTCACCCATGTGCTGCACATGTAGTGCCGGCCGCGGATGAAAAGCGTGTCCAGGATGCCGTCCCCGGTCTTCTTGTGTACCTGCGGCGTATCGGCCATATCGTCAAGGACGACCAAAACTTGCCAAAGGCGCTTCATTCCCAGCTCTTTGGATTTTTGGGTTATGCGCTTCTGCTGGGCCAGGATGTTCCGGAGCGCGCCCTCGTCCCATTCGCTCCACCAGCACTGCTCCCGGTCCGTGTTGACCCCCAGGTCCTTCCGGATGTACTCCTTCACGGGGTCCCACTGGGGGTCCATGTCTATGGAATTCGACATGATGTACACCCGCTCAAAGCAGCCGCGGTACTGCTCAAGGATCATCGAAACGAGAAGAACGGTCTTCCCGGACGCGGACGGCGCGCATAGGATGCCGTTTGAGGGCGTTCTGCAGACCACCGCGTCTGGGGGCTGCTTGACCGCGTACTCCGGTGTCTTGAAGAGCTTCACCTTTCCCATTTAACCAAAGCGCCCTGTAGCACTCGTAGAGGCAGCCGCACATTTAGGTTATGTTGCCTTCGTG